AGGCGATTGCCCCTCACACACGCCAGGCGATTGCCCCTCACACACGCCAGGCGATTGCCCCTCACACACGCCAGGCGATTGCCCCTCACACACGCCAGGCGATTGCCCCTCACACACGCCAGGCGATTGCCCCTCACATATACATTAGCATGGACTGGGGCAGCAGAGGGGTTAATAAGAGCGGGCGGGCGGGCGCACCTCTTGTTTGGTTTTGCTGGTGTAGCCCTGGACGGACTCCCGGGCCACGAGGGTTTCCAGTGCGTCTTGGACGGTGCGGATCTTCTCCGATTGGATGTCCAGCTGCAGGGTGAAGAAGGGCTGCAGGGTGGCCGACTCCTTGGAGCTCTGCTGGTACACGACGGACCTGGAAGAAAGAGGGGACAGCGCGACGTCAAAATCAGTGACCTCCCAATGCGGCAGCACAGAGACTCCTTCACCCGGGCGTCATACACACTGTAACCCAGGGGGAGCAAACCTCCCCCATGGGTGAAACTACAAATCCCATGATGCATCTCTCTCCAGGAGCCATGTCTGTGGCTGTGAGAATCTTGCAATGCCTCATGGGATTTGTAGTTTCACCCATGGGGGAGGTTTGCTACCCCTGCTTATAGCTTGTGGAAAAGAGACGCACACATCGGCTGTTTAATCTACGATGCTGCGGAGCTGCTCGAACCCCTGGTGACCCCCTCAGGGAAGTCCTTGTTCAGGCACTTCCTGTTCTAGTGACAACGCCCTGCCCTGGTCTCCCAGCTGTGTCCTTGCATGGTCACCCGGCCATAGGGGCTTCCGGCGACCATTCCAACACACGACACAGACCGACACTGTTGTCACCACCAGAAAACTGGCCCTGAGAAATGCCACGCAGTCACGCCTGGAGTCATGTAGACAGGAAGTGGCGGAAAGGATGCTGCAGGAGATCAGCAGGCCGGAGATTTAACAAAGGATTGTATTCGTTGCAACGCGACATAACTCTGCGTGCGGGTATTTGAAGCTCTCGCACAGATCGCCGCAGCCGAGTCTCCTTCTGTTTCTCATCCTGACTCGGGCCCCGACCCGACCATACGCGAGGCCGGTTTTACAAACAGCGGACACTTCGGGTCCCCCGCCCCCCACCCTCGGGTCCCCCCCAC